CCTTCAGACTAACTAAAGGACACAAAGGCCACCTGCCCGGCTTTGTTTTGAAACTGTCAATTCCAAATTCTGGTAGCTGGCAGAGACAGGGATATTGATTTTCCCTTCTGGAATGCATGTCCTACAGAGTCCTCGCAAATAGAAACTGAAAAACACAGACAAACATAACCGCCCAGAGAGACAGGCAAGGGGACATTTCTTTTTAAAACAATTTAAACCAGGTTTTGTCTTTTTCTTATTATGCCTTATTGGATGGTGGTTTGTCATCTCTCTCTCTCGCTCGCTAATTCCTTCTGTCTTCCTGATTGTTTCTTTTTCTTTCTCACTGTGTCTCTTCTGTTCAGTATCTCACAAGTGTTTGCATACAGTAGGCATTTAATACAGGAAAGCCACTCCATGGTTCATCACCAGATCAATTTGTTCACATAACTGCTGTCTCTTTTTAAATACAGCTCCTCTTGTTTATCCACATGGCAGCTGAGGATGGATGAGCCTGCAAGTCCAGCTTTCAGTAATCCCAGGAGTGGGGTCCCCAGCATATTCCTCTTTCTCTTCTCTGAGGAAACGGGAGGCCATTAGGGGCTTCCTTCTGCTGCCTGGGGAGGAGCAGGGCACCAAGTCCTTTCACCAGGAGCCCCCCAATGCCACAGGGTTCAGACACCACCTGTGTCCCTTCTCTTGGATCTGATAAAAGTGGCGTGCATGCCTCTTGCTTGCGTGAATGGTTATTCACAGCAGACTAGTTATTTCTTCATTCTCCATGGCCAGCATGGCTACATGGGAGGGATGTGGACAGACAGATGTATCTATACCTCGCATCCCAAAGATGGCGGGTGTGCTGCTAATGGCGGGCTGGGTGGGAGGCCTAGATCTAATTTTGTCTGCTGGCTGCTACCAAATTACACACCCTGCTGGAAAGAATTGTATCCCCTGGAAAATGGGGATGTCAAGTCTCTTTCTTCTTGGAGGGGAATGTCAGGGCAGGCAGAAGAAACACGCAATCCTTGGTTTTGTCATAATAAGGTGTATGGTGTCGTGGATGAACCAGATCTGATGTCATTTCACATGTCATTTGGTGTGGCGCCTGACCCTGAACTCTGGTCATTCATCTCCCACTCCTGATTTACTTAAGGTAGCAGAATGGCGTTCTGTCCCCTGAGCCCTTGGGATGTGAAGGAGAAGGTCTGGGGCCTGGCTCTCAGAGAGAATGAAGCCAGAGGGCCTACAACCCAAGATGTAAAGCTTGCGTCCATCATCGGCTAGGTAGGCGAGCTCCTTCCCACAGCGGTGTTTTATGCAGCTTAATTTTTGAAAGTATCTCCTATTTCCATGGATTTTTTTTCATTATGTGAAGCTGAGAATCGAACCCAGGACTGTACAGGCTAAACGGGTGCTTACCTTACCGCTGAGCTATACCCCAGCCCACAGGTGCAAACTTAAACGTGCGACTTCATTATCGCCTCTGCCCAGATGCTCTCACCCTCCAAGAATTTGCTCCTGTCACCCACATGACATGTTCTCTTATGACAGTGGGATTTGCTGGGTCCAACTCCCTCCTATCAAAGCCAAGGAAGCTAAGATCCAGAGATGTGGTGTGGCTTTACCAAATTCCTTCCACCAGCAAGAACAAGACAGGGTGTCAGATTCATTGATTTCCCAACAGACAGAAGCCACCTGTCCACACTGCCCATGGAAGCCTGAGGGTCACCTCACACCCAACATGATGACAGCCCAGCTCCTGGCCAACTAAAGCCTGGCTCCTCCTCACCTCCTCACCTCCCAATCCCTGTGGAATTGGAAGTTCCATAGAGGCAGACCTCAAAGATCTAAAAGATCTATTGATATCACACCCATGGCATTCAGCAGGTGCTCAAAAATATTTTCCTGGGTACGCAGATGAATGGCTGTGAGAATCTGCCATTGCTGTCCGGGTGGTCTGAGCTTGGAAGTCAGCATTTTGCACTTCATCCCCCACCTGGTCTCTAATAACTCATTGGTGGCCAAGTTCTGCTGATGTGGCCCACGTTGACTTCTCTGAATCCCTCCTTGCTTTACTTCTGATGGCTCCCTCCCGAGCTGGAGCTCTGACTCCTCCTTGGACTACAGCCTGCCCCCAGGCCTTCCCTTCTTCCACCTTCTTCTGTTCTTGGTCCCTCTTCCTAAATAAAAGTCCCCTGGGATGTCTTTGCATGTGTTCCTGGAAATGCACCTCATCCAGTTTTGCTCCTACACTTTGCATACACTAACCTGCTTCGTTTATTCTGGGAACCCTAATCATGCTACCAGCCCAGCTGAAGTCTCTACCATAACAAAGAAACACAGAAGCACAGTAACTAGAACTTTCTAAAGACTGTCCTGTGTCAAGCACGGTACTGACTTATTCATAGGTACCATTTTATCAACCTTCACAACACCCCGTGAAGGAAGTCCAGTTATTGTTCCCAGGTTACAGAGGTGGAGCCTGCACTCAGAACTGTCAAAGGCATGTAGCAAAGGTCACAGACTCCGCACCCATGTGAAAGTCATGCATAATTCTGCCAGACTGCCACAGCCCTGTCTAACCTCCAGGCTGAGGGTCTCACTCTTTCCCTAGTCCTGACGGCCCCTCCCTGCACCCTGCCATGCTTCCCAAGTTCTGGTGTTGATCTTCGTTTCACTGACCATTCTTACATTCCTGTGCTCCTACTTCTTGTTCCTGGTTGTCCTCAGGCCACCAGAGAGCAGGAGTTATCCTCCTGCTGTCTGAAAGGTTCACTCCCACAGGGCACCGCTGACTGACTGGCTAGGAGGGTAAAGTATCCCCTTTATTTTGGGGGGTTAAGTCTTCCTTTAGGCAGTGAGTCCACCATCCCCTCCCCACCACCACAGGCCGGCAAGGGACCTAAACAACAGAGAAGTCTCTAGTTGAGTGTTACATGCAGACAGACCATCCTTACATCAAAAAATCTGAAACTTTCGAGCACTGACACAACACCACAGTGAAAATTCCACACCAGGAAGCTTTGTTTCATGCACAAAATTATTTAAATATTACCTTCGGGCTATGACCTTTCTGGTCACAGCATTTTGGATAAGGGACACCCAATCGGCGGTTAGATCCACTGTCTCTAGAAGATTGGTTTGACAGTGGTTACCAGAGTGACTTAGGAATTTTGAAATCTTAACTACTGAAGACTTCACGTTAGAGAAGTTACGAGAGAGGGGAAGGACAGCCCAAGAAATCCCAACAACTAATGGGAACCTGTGGAAGACTGAATCACTTTCCTGAGACTCAGAAATGCAGTGATAATTATACATTACACATCACTACACTGTGTCTGTTAACTGATCCGTTTAAAATTAGCATCCCACAAATGTATCACTTTACAATGGTAAACGGTCATTGGGCTTCAAACCTCAGGAAGCTGGCTGACCTTGAGTTAGTCACCATCCCTCTCTGGGCCCCTTTTTCTCTCGTCCTGGACATTCAAGAATGCTAATTAACCTGATCTGTTTGCTTGAGTTCAGGTGCCAAGTCTTGAATTTCTATAATCCCAGGAACAAAATGGTAGAAAAGCAGTCTGGAATGTTGAAAGTGCCATCTCTGAGTGAGAAAACATCGGTCATTATTTAGTGTTGATTTTTTTCCCCTTTTCTTTATTTTTTGCAGTTCCTGGGATCAAACCTGGGTCCTCGTGTATGGCTCTCCCACTGGCAATAGCCCCAGCACAGAAGTTATTTCTACGTGAGGCAAAGGGGCTTCATGCTTCGCAGACTCCTACTCTTTCCTGCTCCCACAGCAAGCAGCAGGCAGCCTCCTGAACCAGAGCCCCTGAAAAGACCTCCCTGTCCCCCCTCCCATGCCTCTGCTCTCTGTGTGCTGTGCGTGTTAAACACCAAAAGCCTTCCACAGGGGCCCTGCCACCACCGAGCAGAGAGCACGCATCTGGAAGCCATTATCAGCTTCCCAGCTATGCCAGCAAACCGAACCCCTTATTCTTTTTAGGGAAAAGTGATGGTTAAGGTAGGTTTTTAAAAAGTCTCTTTCCAGACTTCACAAACTGAATTTGAGCCTGTGGAGGAGGATGGTGAGCAGACATGCTTGCTCAGTCAAACCAGTCTGTATTCTGTGCCCCTCACCAAAGCACGCTCTGAACCCACAGACACAGCTTGCACAGGCAGAATGTCAGAAGGCAAACACACACACCCACCTTGTGAAGGCAGGGGCCCCAAATCACCAGGGTCAGGTAGGAAAGCATCATGGTGGTTTGGTAAGTTCAAAAATGCAGAGATGGAACAGCTGTGCCTCCTGACTCTGGTGACACAGGGCTCTTCCCAGGATAAAGTCACACGGGGCTCCCCATGCTGGCCTCACACATGTGCACATAGCAAGTGCACAGGGGTAAGGATGCACCAAAGTCACTTCCTGGTGCTGTTATGGGACTATGGTGTTACCAATGGGGAAAGTGCTACATGACCTGCCTACAATTTCTTCAAACTCCCTGTCAATCAACAACGATTTTAAAATGAAAAGTAAAGAACCAACAAAACAAAAGTCTAGTGCAGTGGAATCGGCTTTGACTCTGGGTTCCCAAAAGTCAGCGACACAAGTCCCAATATCTCTCACAGGGGCTGATGACACCCATAATTGTGACAATGACATCATTGTCGAAGTTGTCATCAACATCAAGGTTCCAATTTACTGAAGATGTATGAACAAGGCACTATGTGCTTTCTTTTTACAATATTTTCTTAGTTGTATACAAGACTTGGGCCAGGCTCCCACCCTCAGTTTACAGAAGAGAATGGTGACCCTGGGAGCAGTGGCCTCTCCCAGGCCATGCAGCCTCCGTGGTCCAGGCTGCAAGAACTGGCTTTGTGAAGCCACTGCTGAAAATACTTAAACACAGTGCCCCATCTTCCAAGATGCCCGGACCACTCTCCTGTCCTGTCCCTTACACCCACTGTGGCCAAAGAGCCAGAGAGCCACACCTGCAGGAAGCCACAGAAACAGCACTTACAGGTTCTTCACGTCTGCGATGCCCCTGAACGCCTTCCTCGGGATGCCCTGGATCTGGTTCTCGCTCAGATCTCTAAACAAGGAGAGAAGAGGGAAACCAGTTAAAGACGCAGTTCTCTGCCTCTCATTATGATAACAACCCCCCCAGAGCCCGCCTCTGCTGTCGGGCAGAAGTGTTTAGGGGACTGTTTAGTGTCAGGTCGGGCTGCTACAAGCATTTGCATTGTTCCCCAGGCGGCCTTTTCTGAAATGGTTACCAGGCTGAGCAGCTCGCCTGGAGCAGGCGCTGTGGGTGGTCTTGCACCTCCAGGCCATGAGCCAAGACTCTGGGTTATTGTTACACACTGCACCTGGTCACTCTCTGTTTTGCCACCTCCCAGAGAAGACCCCTTGGCCCCTGCCCCCAAGGTGTCCCTCCCCGTCCTGTCTCAGAGTCAATACCATTCAATCTCCCATCCTTGGGGTGGGTGGTCGGAGGGGGACTGTCCTCTGATGCTCAAGCTCCTGGCCTTTGTCCTCTGGGATTGCAACCCAGCCTGGTCATCTGATTTTCTGATGGGGACAGCCACTTCAGCTTACTCTAGAGTCCCCGAGACCCTAGAGGCCTCCTGGGTCTACTTAGCGACAGGCATGATGAATTCAAATTGCATTTTCACAACTCCACCCACAACAGGGCTCCTATCCCCGCCTCATCTCACCCTGAGCAGTGCTAATATGCTGCTTTTGAGCAGAGTGTCATGTCTACAGCTGGCTCAAACCCAAGTCTTGTGCCAGAGTTTAAGCCTTGCCAAGCCTCAGTTTCCCTTCTGAAGAAGGGTGTCGACCTTTTTGTTTGTTTGTTTTGTTTTGCAGTCTGAGTTTTTGCTAGACGAAACATGCACTTGTTTTATTGTGACCTCAAGCCAGCTGGTATGGATCTCAGCTAGGAGTCAATCTGTAAAGACCTATCAGGTGTCCAGGACGTGTCAGGTGGTTCTGATAAACACCCACACTGGCTTCGAGCTAGCACTGCATGGCCAGGCCATGGGCTGCTGGAGTGTCCCCGAAGACGATGTAGAAGGGGACGAGGGGCAAAGATGGGGCCAGGGCCACTGCTAGCTATTTATGCTTTCTTCAGATAGAAAAGGACACACACACACTTTCATAGGTGCAGACACACATATCTATAACTTTGGAAAAGAAAAAACACAGAAAGTCTCTCAGATACTAAGGTAAACAAATTAACCACTTAGCCATAACCTCTGCTAACAATAGGAGATGTACATATATATACATTTTTCACCAATATGACCTTATAATATAGTCTATTATGAACTAATTTTTACTTACTACATTGAGAACATCTGTTTGTTTTTTTGTAAAGCTTCCCACTTGTAAAGCAGGAGCTCAGCAGGTGGAGTCACCCCTCCAGTCCATTTTGCTCTGGTTATTTTGGAGATGGGGTCTCATGAACTATTTGCCTGGGCTGGCCTTGAACTCAATCCTCCTGATCTCAGCTTCCCAAGTAGCTGGGATTACAGGGTCAGCCACCAGTGCCTGGCAGCAACAACATTTTTAATGGTTGCATAGCATCCATTGTATGGTTCACTATATGACTGTAGATTGTTGGGTGGTCATTGATTGATTTATTTATTTTGCTGTGTAAGGAAGTTGTAGGGTAAATTTCTCTGCCCTTACCCTTGGGGACACTTGTCCAGTTATCTCCTGGGCACAAAATCCTATAAGGAGAACTTGCTAGTCACAAGGTCAGCACATCCTTGCTGAGGTGCCCTATGGACAGATTGAACCAGTGGACACTCACACACTGAATTTTTGTAGATATCTCATCAAAACTTATTGTTCACTCCAAACCTAGGTGGAAGGAGAGGCCGGGCTACCATGCTGCACAGAGCCTGGGCATGGCAGGAACACTTTGCAGGAGGAGGAAGGAACAGGAAGCAGAGGAAGGGCATCTATTTTCTACTCTCAGCTGCAGGGATAAGCCATGCGTGCCCTGAGCTGCTGGCTGAAACTCACGACACTTAGGGATTGTTGAGGGCTCCTTTTAGGCTCCAAAGCAAGCTCAGAGTGGGGGTGCATGCAGCTGTGAGTCCTAGAGCAGCTGGGATAACAGGGTGCTCCCCATCTCACATTCACTTCCCCCCATCTGGAACTGATGTAAGTAAATTTAGATATACAATGAGCTTTGCGGTGGGCTCCCTCACCCAGGCCTGATTCAATGAACAGGGCTCCAGCCTGGAGCCAGGGCATGGAACAAAGCCCACGATGACAGAAGAGGTCAGCCAGTGTCACCCAGGCCACTCAGCTGCTCTCCATCAGCCTCCAGAAAAGGGGCCCGGGTCCTGTCATCCAACTAATGCAATTTCAACCAGGCATCTGTGCTGCACCCGAGGCTCTCCTGGCCACAATGGACCCAGTCTTTTCCGCCTAAGGCTGGTCTCCAGGGCCCCCAAGCCCCTGCCCAATGTCCTCCCAGGCTTGGCTCTTATCTTTGGCTGCTCTGGGAGATAAGCTGTGACCACATGTCTGACAAATGACTGATGAGGAAAATTGGGACAAGGCGAGGGAGCACATAGGAGGAAGGTTTTGAACAACTGACTTTGAGCAGTGATGGAAGCTGGAGGAAGGTGTGTGTATTCCAGGAACTCATTAACCATCTTGAACAGAAACATACGGGAAGGAATGGCGATTGTACAAAAGTTCTGGTTCACAACACAGTGGAATGAATGAAGCCATACAGAAGCAGGAAAGTGTGGCGGTGTGCATGGGAGACGTCAAACCCTGGTCACTCTGTCCTTCCGTAAATGTGCCTCACCTTGTCCCTACTTTAAGAAGCCCTGTTTCTAAAGCATAGCTTTCTTTCCACCTCCTGGCTGTTACTTTTCCTGTCCCAGTTGCGTAAGACTTGGATTGTAGGGAATTTATCTGTTCCCCATGACAATCTGCTTATAAATATTATTAATCTCATTTTCCATTGAGCCTCTGTTCGCCAGCTCACAATGTCGCTGCCGTGAGTCTGCAGGGCTGTATATTGATTTCATAAATACCTCCAGTGGGCTCACAAACTGACAGCTTTAATGGTGTTACTGATGGGGCGTGGAGGAGGGCTCGGGGCGGCTGCTTCATTTCGGTAACCATCCCTACACAATTATCACGGGGCCTTTGTGGGGCTTCCTAATAGTGTGTTTATCTCAGCGTGATGCTCGAGCACGGAGCTATTGTTAAGTGTGATCCTTGAGAGAGACAAGAGCCACCATTTTCAGCTGACACTTAAATAAAAATAACAAAATCTATCCGTAATGCCTAAGAGCCTAGTTCCGGGCAATTGCTTGTTTGCGTTTTAGTGCCTCCCCCTTCACCAGGGAAGCGGCTGGTGGAAATACTCAGATCAGAAGGGGATTTTTTTTCCTTTGTTTGTTTTTTATTTTTAACAGTGGATGAAAAAACACAGGTTGGGGTAGGTCAATGGTGTAAGGTGTCCTGGACTTTTCTGGGGTCCCAAATAAGATGGTTGAACCATTTTGTTTGAGAAGTGGAGCTATGGATCAGGATGACTTTTTAATAGGGCTCTGAAAGGAGAGCAGAGGGGAGGTACATTAGCTAAAGTGCATTTCTGGCTTCCGGAAAATGATTAACTGACTGATTATTCCATCCAAAAACCCAGGCCCAAAGAGGACTTACTGAGGAGACAGTAAGTCAAATAGGAGTTGGCAAGAACCAATAGATTCCCCTTCCAGCCATCCCTCCCCCAGCCTTTTTAATTTACTAAAATGCTTTGGACACAGATTAACTTTCTTCACAAATTTATTATTGCTTCATCTACCTTAGAGCGGGAACTGCAGACACTTTGATAAATGGATTGAAAGGTGGTTGAATTCTAGAGGAGCCTTTGAAATGCTTCCTGGGCTCTCCCTGCAATGTCAGGGCAATGGTGAATAACAGTCCTCACCCATATCCTCCCCCTGCAGGACCAGGAGCAGGAAGATGCTCCTCTCTTTGCTCTGGTGGGGACAATGCCCTTGTCCTGGTCACATCCATGCTACCGGGAAGTCTTGTCTGTGTTAAGTGGCAGTTTCTCAGGGCATACACTCTAGGTGTGGATCCCAAATTATGAAGCTACAAAATGGAGCTGGGGAGCTTCCAGAAACTTGGGCGAATTCTTGTTTCTGAATGGGTAGAGTAACTTTACCAGCTGATTATTCAAGATGCTACAATGCTCCATGCCTTATCTTCTCCATATTTACCAACCTCATCAATTATGGGACCAAAATGAGTGAGGAAGGCATAAAGCCCTGAAAGCACTCAGTTAATGGTTGGGTTTACTTCTTAGAGTTCCTCAACACTGCAGAAAATGCCTCTTACCAGCATCCCTGGGACACAGGCATATCGCTGTGCAAAGAATAAAACTCATAAAGATTACCAGTTCTCTGTCCATAAAATCTGAGGGAGGGACTGAAGCCTCCCTTACCAGTCATCTAGAAAGGAGTATCTATATTTGATTCTAGATTTTTTTGGATGAAACAGGAGGGGTTGATTTAGGAAAATGTCTGTCTTCTGTTGGGTTGTCTCAGAAGCAGAGCTGAGCCAAGGACTCAGAGGTTAAACAAATGATTAATGAAGTCCTCCCAGGAGACACGAGGAGGCAAGGAGTCAGGACCAGGGAAAAATCAGGTAAAGTCTCAATCTAAGTCTAAGGCCACAAGAAGCACCTATCTCTAAGCCAGAGAACTAGTCTTTGTAGCTCTGCCTCAGGCAGTACTGGAATAGGGACCACCCATGAGAAAAGCAAATTCCCGGGCTCTGTCAGCCCTCTGCGATGCTGTGAGAGTGATGCCAGCAACCAAGGACAGACTGCTGAAGATGCTCCCAGCTATGAGACCTGAGTGGTGAAGTCCAAAGATGCCAGGGAGGAAATGCAGGATCAGTAAAGAGCACCCATGGGATCCAACGCACAGCATCCATAAGACAGCTTCAGGAAAGTTCTGAATCAGGAAACTCTCAGCAGATTAAAACAGCAATCTCCAAAGACGTACATCCAGAACAAGGATCAAAGGCCACACAGGGAGCTAGCTTTCCAAAGAAAACTGGAACAGCTCAATCTGGTATTCAGTGAGGCTTACGTTTCTTTGTCTCCCTCCTCAAGGCACTAATCAATGGTGC